AATCTTATACTCAATTTATAAGTTTGGTAGAAATATCAAATATTCTCAAAGTCAATTACAGAATATTTCTTTTTCCAAAAAAAAATTCGGGTAGAGTTCAAGATATAAAAAAGATTTTATATTCCTTTTCTTACGACCACTTTTGGAAACTCAACACTCCTTATTCAGTTATTCTCATGAATCTCATCCACCCATGTGTCATAAATCTAACAAAAGAGGAAGAAATTAAAATAATAATTACTATTACTATATCTTATTATAGTATTTGACAATATGGAAAGGAAAACTCCTTAACGAACACGAAAACTGTAAACTTGTCACTATAATATAATAGAAGTCGTGGAAAATAATATCTTCTAGAAAAGGAATAATAATATCTTGGATCAGTCAATGAACAACAAAATTTAAATACATAGATGGAGTATATTATAAGGACAAGGCACATTTTCGTGAAGTATGATAGTTAAAATGCAAATACCACTGAGAAAAGTTACGAAGAGAAGAGGTGAATTATCCTTTGACAACACCGTTCTAACCACAAATTCTTGAATAATGAATGACTTACCGTTTTAGAATTTTCGGATGTCTTTTTCACAAGAGTACAATAAGCAAAGTAAATATTTCGACAGAGGAAGTTCTCAAAACTATGAAGATCCTAATAACAACAAAATATACGTATATAGATTATATTTTAGAACCGCCCGGAACAATGACATTGCGTCCGACATATACAGTTTAACACCCCTCCCTTCTTGGAGTTTGCGGGTTGCAAAATGCAAACACTAAACCTGAAAAAGATGCTTCCAATTCAGGCCAGCCAATTCTTTTTGTGAAAATGTTAGGAAGCTGCTCCTATCTTGAACGGAATCATGAACAGTATATGATAATCGATTTTGATGTGTTATGGTTTTGGCCACTTTCGGCATTATTTCATGATTTAGGTTGAGTGTCTTTAGGCGTCATTTTACTTTTATCGCTTCATCGGTTGAATCAGAAGGTAAAAGTAAAACAGTGTTTAAATATTCTGATACCAAGGCAATAGGTACCGTAAGGTAAAAGCTCATAAAAGAGAACAAAAATAAAATGACCCGATTTTTAAATTATGGACAAGCTTTTTTATTAAGCCCATCTTTCATTTTTTCGGTGTGTCGACAAATTATACACAAAAATGTATGCATAAAGGGATATTATTTGATTGATTAATGAAAACAAATGGAGTATATCTTTTGTGTTATATAAGGCAAGACTAACGTATTTTATTGGCTTGTAAACATTTTGTTTTAGACCGAAGTGGACTGTACAAAGCCAAATCTATTTTTATAGAGCTGTGATTCTAAAGTAAATGTTGGGTTTTGCTTCTTAAAAACTTCAACAATCTATATACGTATCTTGGACCCCAACATGTACCGGTTATCTTGGACCGGAGAGGTAATCGTCGCCAATGTGAGTATTGGATTCTGGTATGAGCCAGTTAATATCAGCTCGAGGATAGTTATAGTCATGTGTCAACAGCTTCTCCTCCTTTTGCCACTCTTCCCATTTCTCAGCTAAACCATCTCCTTCCAGCATTCTCACAACTTCTGACATCTTGGGACGTTCCAAAGCAGAGCTCTGAGTGCAGAGCAGAGCCATTTGGATCCGCTGCTCCACTTCTTTCTCCACATAGTTTCCTTCAAGCTCTGCATCCACAAGACTTTCCAGCTTCTTCTCTTTCAAAACCTCTTTCACCTAAATCACACAGCAAAACAAAACACTTTTCACTGTAAATATAACAATTATGAACACAAGAAAGATGATTTAGGAAAACCATAAAAACATTACCCAATCAAGTAACATGATATCATCATCATTTGCAAGCCGAGCAAGATCGAAAGCTTTCTGTCCAGTGATGAGCTCGAGAAGCATGACCCCATACCCAAACACATCAGTTTTCTCAGAAGATTTCCCTGTCGAAAGGTACTCAGGAGCTATATGGCCTATTGTACCTCGTACAGCAGTTGTCACATGAGAGTCATTATAATTCATGAGCTTTGCCAGCCCAAAATCTCCAACAACAGCTTCAAACTCTTCATCTAGCAATATATTTGCAGCTTTCACGTCCCTGTGAATGATTTTCTGGTCGCAATGATCATGTAAATACGCAAGCCCCCTTGCTGACCCCAGAGCAATATGCTTTCTTTTTGGCCAATCAAGTGCTGGATTGCCTTCAGGACGCTCTAAACACGAAAAATAAAGCAATCTAAGGAAATTTTGATGAAACTGAGAGGAACAATAACTATTAGACAAGAGAATGAGGTACCTCTTAAGCAAGAAGCAACACTTCCATTAGCCATGTATGGATAAACAAGCAATCTTTCGGTTGGAGTCATGCAAAAGCCACGAAGCCGAAGCAAGTTTCTGTGAACGGCCATACTGATCATCTCAACCTCGGTTTGGAACTGCAGTTCCCCACCTTTGGTACGTTCTTCTTTTAGCCTCTTCACAGCTACTAGAGAGCCATCGGCTAAACGTCCTTTGTACACTTTACCAAAACCACCTCTACCCAATACATTTTTGTTGCTAAAGTTATCTGTAGCAACTAGTAGTTCACGCAAGGAGAACCTTCTGAGTTGTCCTAAGTGAACCTCTGGGTCTTCTTCAGCTGCAACATATGGAAAAATCAGTAAAAGAAGCTTCAATGGGAAAAGAGATGAAGATAGTTGACTAACCAGGTACATCGAAAAAGTGGTCTTGTGGTTTACTTCTCAGCCACCAAGCAAGCGCAATGGCTGGAACAGCAAATAGAACTGCGGCACCTGCAGCGACTCCCCCTGCTATTGCTGCTGTTATTGGTCTCCCTGAGAGTATGAGATAAACACACTTTTCCTTAATACAGAACTCATTCGCAGTTGATGACAAGAAACACAAAGAAGAGAATGAAAGGTACAAAATGAAGACCTGAAGGTGGTGGTGTCGTAGTAGAGACAGGAGGAGGCGGAGATGGAGGAAGCGGCCTTAAATTATTATTGTTAAAACTGCACATAACCTTCAACAATTAGTAACTCTGTTGTGACCACTCCATCAAGGATCAAACTAGAGACAAGAAGGAAAACCTGATAGGAGTGAACAGCGAGAAGGAACCATTAACAGGAATATCTCCACTGAGCCGATTGTTTGACACATCCCTAGATGTCAGGATGATATCGTCTTTGTCATATAACACAAGATCGAATAACTAATATTCAAAAACGAACAGATTTATTCAGGTGAGAGAAAGTTACACTTACAGAACTTGCAGCGACACAGCAGTCAAAGACCTTGGAATTTCTCCAGATAAGTTGTTGTTATTGAGACGCCTAACCACATACAGTAGAACACCATGTTGTTGATATTTTATATTTGACGAAAGTGATATCAATCTTAGTATAGAGTTCAAAAAGAAGAGAAAGGGTACATACAAGAATCGAAGTTTCTCTAGTTTGCCAAGAGACGATGGGATGGGACCACTTATTCTGTTCATGTAAAGATCCAAGCTCACCAATTCCCTCAACCCTCCAAGCTCTTCAGGTATTCCCCCAGTTATGTTATTGCTATAAAGCTCCCTGTCATTAACCTTTGCTTAGTTATATTGTAGATTGGAAATCTCTAACACTTCTTTACCAAAAATCCATGTTGCAACAAAACAAAATGCAGTAAGATTTAGAAGATAGCATATGTATAATATCCTAGTTCTCCCTAAATACAGAAGTTGACCGAACAAGGCTACAAAAATCCAAGATAAAAATACAGAAAATCATGTGAAAATAAATCGACATGACTTCTCTCAGAGAGGTGACTTACAAGTACTGCAAGTTTGGGAGCTGGCCAAGCTGTGGCACAAGTTGTCCAGATAGATTTGCATTCCCAAGATCACTGAGCAAAAACATCAACCAGTAAGAAGATTTCCCAAAAGGCTTCAATCATTTCATTTGGAAACCATCACAAAGAGAGAAAAAGAGAAACTTACACACGAATAACTCTGTTCTCATTATTGCAAGTAACATGAAACCATGTACATGGAGTAACGAGAGTTGAATCCCAGCTTTGAAGTACATTATTAGGATCAGCAAATAAACTCTTTCTCAGCTCAGTTAAAGCATCACCTTTACCATACAAGACACAAAATTCAAAAACTTTGCACTAATAATCATTTCTAGCCAACGAAGAGATAAGCAAAAGAAGAACCTTCCAAGTTTCCGGCGACTCTGAGAAGCAAATTGAAAAGTAAAATCAGCCAAATAAAGCTACGGGTTGGTCCTTTTTCCATTTTTTTTCCACTTCTCAGACTTAAAGAAGCAAACCAATTAGAGGAAGAGGATTCGAAACCATTGATTTCAGCTACTTTCTCCTTTGACGAAGAGATAAAATTAATCAAAATGGTATTTTTCTTTTACGCGTAGTCGGCGTTTGACCAAACTATTAAAAACCCAAAATCGATTCTCGACGAAAGATCAAATTTCTGAATGCTAATCGTGGACCCCATTTTTATCCAAAGGAAAGGAGCAAAATTGGGCTCAAAGACGATGACTTTTCTACTTGAGGAGAAGACTGATAGCGAGAGCCAAGAAGCAATCTCTCGTTTAAAACAAAAGGGACTAATGAGTAAGAAACTAATACTAGCATGGCTGATTGTAAATTTTTAAAACTTCGTTTTTTGTGTTTATTACCAATCAGTCCCTTTAAAAAACCTTGCACAAATAATCTATGACATGTAGCAATTGTTCTTCTAACTGTAAATGATAGAAAAAATAATTTCTAAACTGATATTCATTAAACTCAATACTAACGTACTTTTCTTTTCTCAAAAGAAGACGAGTGATGTTTTTTTATATTGGCTTGTAAACATTTTGTTTTAGACTGAAGTGCACTGTACAAAGCCAAAGCTCTTTCTATAGTCCTGAGATTCTAACGTAAATGTTGGGTTTTGCTTCTTAAAAACTGCACCAATCTCCTATACGTATCTTGGACCCAACATGTCCCGGTTATCTTGGACCAGAGAGGTAATCGTTTTCGATGTGAGTATTGGATTCTGGTATGAACCAGTTAGTGACAGCTTGAGGATAGTTATAATCATGTCTCAACAGCTTCTCCTCCTTTTGCCACTCTTCCCATTTCTCAGCTAAACCATCTCCTTCCAGCATTCTCACCACTTCATACATCTTAGGACGTTGCAACGAAGAACTCCGAGTGCATAGCAGAGCCATTTGGATCAGCTGCTCCACTTCTGTATCCACATAGTTTCCTTCAAGCTCTGCATCCACAAGACTTTCCAACTTCTTCTCTTTCAAAACCTTTTTCACCTAAACAACCCATAAAACAGACACTTTTCACTGTAAACATGACAATCCTAGACACAAGTCACACAACAATATGATTTGGGGAGTCCATAGAGGAATACCCAATCCAGTAACATGATATCATCATCATTTGCTAGTCGTGCAAGATCAAAAGCCTTCTGTCCAGTGATGAGCTCGAGAAGCAAGACCCCGTACCCAAAAACATCAGTTTTCTCAGAATACTTCCCTGTCGAAAGATACTCAGGGGCTATATGGCCAATCGTACCTCGTACAGCAGTTGTCACATGAGAGTTCTTACGATTCATGAACTTTGCAAGCCCAAAATCTCCAACAACAGCTTCAAACTCTTCATCTAGCAATATATTTGCAGCTTTCACGTCCCTGTGAATGATTCTCTGCTCGCCATGATCATGTAGATATGCAAGCCCCCTTGCTGATCCCAAAGCAATATGCTTTCTAGTTGGCCAATCAAGTGCTGGATTGCCTTGAGGACGCTCTACACACGGAAAAACAAAGCAAATTTTATGAAAATGTAACATGCAATCTAAGGAAAATTTGATGAAACTGTGAGGAATAATAACTACTAGAGAGAAGAATGAGGTACCTTTTAAACAAGAAGCAACACTTCCATTAGCCATGTATGGATAAACAAGCAATCTTTCAGTTGGAGTCACGCAAAAACCACGAAGCGGAAGCAAGTTTCTATGAACGGTCACACTGATCATCTCAACCTCGGTTTGGAACTGCAGTTCCCCACCTTCGGTACGTTCTTCTTTTAGCCTCTTCACAGCTACTAGAGAGCCATCGGCTAAACGTCCTTTGTACACTTTACCAAAACCACCTCTACCCAACACATTTTTGGTGCTAAAGTTATCTGTAGCAACTAATAGTTCACCCAAGGAGAACCTTCTGGGTTGTCCTAAGTGAATCTCTGGGTCTTCTTCAGCTGCAAAATATGGAAAAATCAGCGAAAGAAGCTTCAATGCAAAAAAATATAAAGATAGTTGACTAACCAGGTACATCGAAAAAGTGGTCTTGTCGTCTTGTCAGCCACCAAGCAAGCGCAATGGCTGGAACAGCAAATAGAACCGCTGCACCTGCAGCGACTCCCCCTGCTATTGCTGCAGTCATTGGTCTTCCTGAGAGTATGAGATAAACACAGTTTTCATAACACAGGAACTCAGTAGCAATTGATGAACCATTGGTACTAGGAAAATGATGATTCATTAACCAAGTGGGATCTGTGAGGAAATGTAACAGAGCTAATACATAGCAATCTAGCAAGTTAACACTTTTAACTCTTTATCAGCAATGTTCAACACCAATCAATCGAAAGTGATACCAATCCTAGTAAAGAAATTATTTTCTAATTAGTAGGTAGTCAATCCTAGTAAAGACATGCCAAATATATAACAAAAATTCTTATTTAAAGAATAATAACCACGAAATAGTCAACCAAACATATACAAACTAAATGCCTTTTAACAATTTTCAGATTCTCTTCCAATGTACGACCATAAATAAAATAAAAAAGTTTACTGGTTTTATGTCATATCACTGGATATAACCTTCGAAAAAGTATCTTTCTGAACGGTAATCATAAACGTGTGAGTGCATAAAGGTGAAAATGCCATGCTTAACGAGGACTAAATATATGAATGTAGGAAGAAATTAGACACTGAATAATGTAAAAGAACTATCAAGAAACACACAGAAGATAATGGAACGTACAAAATGAAGACCTGAAGGTGATAGTGGCGTAGTAGAAGAGATAGGAGCAGGCGGAAATTCAGGAACTATATTATTATTATTGTTGTCAAAACTGCAGATAATTTTCAGACGAATAGTAACCCATTGTGAGTTTGTGAGCAATCCATCTAAGATCAAAGTCACACTCGGTACAAGAAGAAAAACCTTGTAGGAGTGAACAGCGAGAAGGAACCATTAACAGGAACATCTCCAGTGAGCTGATTGTTTGAGAGATCCCTGCATTTCAGGATGATATCGTTTTTTTCATAACTCAAGATGGCACAGCCAATATTTAAAAATGAACAGAATAATTCAGGCGAGACAAAGTTCTTACAGTACTTGCAGCGACGACACAGCAGTCAAAGACATTGGAATTTCTCCAGATAAGTTGTTGTTATTAAGATGCCTAAGCACATATAGTAGATTACCATGTCATCAATTCTAAACAGTAAAGAGTCCAAAATGACAAACACCCAACAAGTATGATTTATCTTAACAAAACATATTGAAGAACAGAAATAGTGCCGTTTTGAAAACTGTTAGAGCAATTACTGACAGACTCTACTTTCTTGGTAAAATTTCCAAGCACGTAGACGCAATAGTTTTCTAGGAAAGAAATACAAGCAAATTCTGAAACTGTAAACAAGGATGAAGAAGATAATGGGTACATACAAGAACCGGAGTTTCTGTAGTTTGCCAAGCGATGAAGGGATTGGACCGCTTATGTTGTTGAAGGAAAGATCTAAGCTCAACAGTTCCCTCAAGTTTCCAAGCTCCTCAGGTATTGCTCCAATAATGTTATTGCTAAAAACCTCCCTGTCATTATTATATTTTTCATAAGAGGATTCTTAGATTGGAGATCTCTAAAACTACTTTTACCAGAAATCCATGTTACATCATACCAAGTGACTTTGAACACTAGAATAACACTATAGAGCTTAGATTTTGTAAAAGTGGAAACTATATTTTTGTAAGAAATTCACATTGGAGAGTATTTCTCAGCAGGAACAAAAATATGTAGAGTTGATACCATCACTAGAGAGATACCAGAACCAAACTCCGCAGTTACTCATCTAAATGAGATAAGCAGAGCATTCGACATATAGAGAGCTTGAAAATATCTTTCATATAGTCGGCTATAGGTCTACATCAATTGAAAATCAAAAATGAGATCATGTAGGGTTCCAGTAACAAGACTCGAAATGCCTAGCAAACGGTATCTAAAATAGCATTATATAAAGATTGCCTACAATATCAACTGATTGACCTGTTTAGCTTAATATGCATCAACCACAGGAGGGCACAAATCTATCCAGAGCTCTCTACTGAAAGCAAATGTACAATTGAAAAGTTCTCCAAACGGAAATTGTGTCAAGATTTAGCAGATCAATGAAGATAGCTAATAGCTTATTGTCACAGTCGCTTTGAAACAAGCAAAATGAAGCATATGCATAATAAACATTCAAATCCTCCCTAAACACAGAAGTAGAACGTACAAAAACTCAAATGAAAAAAAACAAATACAAAAATCTTTGTGAAAGTCATTGACTTGACTTGTCAAAGAGATGGCTTACAAGTACTGCAAGTTTGGAAGCTGACCAAGCTGTGGTACAAGTTGTCCAGATAGATTTGCATTCCCAAGAGCGTTGAGCAAAACATCAAGCAGTAAGAAGATTTCCCAAAAGACTTCAATCATTTATTTGAAAACCATCAGAGAGAGAGTCAGAGAGAAAAACAGAAACTTACACTCGAATAACTCTGTTCTCATTATTGCAAGTAACATGAAACCATGTACATGGAGTAGCAAGAGTTGAATCCCAGTTTTGAAGTACATTATTAGGATCAGCAAATAAACTCTTTCTCAGTTCAGTCAAAGCATCACCTTTACCATACAAGACACAAAATTCAAAAACGTTGCACTAATAATCATATCTAGCCAACAAAGAGATAAGCAAAAGAAGAACCTTCAAAAAAAAAAAAAAAAAAGAACCTTCCAAGTTTCCGGCGACTCTGAGAAGCAAATTGAAACGTAAAATCAGCCAAATAAAGCTACGGGCTGGTCCTTTTTCCATTTTTTCTCACTTCTTAGACAAACCAGTTAGAGGAAGAGGATTCGAAACCATTGATTAAGAAAAATGGTTTTTTTCTTCTACGCGTAGTCGGCGTTTGACCAAATATGAAAAAAACCTAAAATCGATTCGCGACGAGAGATCAAAATTCGGAGATTTCCGAATGCTAATCGTGGACCCCATTTTTATCCAAAGGAAAGGAGCAAAATTGGGCTCAAAGGTTATCAAAGACGATGACTTTTCCTCTTGAGGAGAAGACTGAAGACTGATGGCGAGAGCCGAGAATCATCTCTGGTTTAAAACATAAGGGGTCGATTAGTAAGAAACTAAATAATAGCATGGCTGATTATAAATTTTTAAAACTTTCGTATTTTGTGTTTATTACTAATCAGTCCCTTTTGTTTATCATAGTAACAATCTCCCACTTCACCACTTCCCACCTCTATCTCTCTCTCTCATGATGACAATGGGCGATTCCAATTTCCGACCACCGTAAACCTACATATTCCGGCACTGGACCACCGTTAACCGAAATTACACACGCATGAAATGTTTTTAACAAATGCCAATTGTACGCCTTTACCCGAACGAAATGTGTTTTGGTACTCATTCAAAGAAAAAAAGAGTCAATGAAATGAAACAAAGTCATCACGTTATACATATAAATCACCGTTCACGAATATCTATCTCACTAGACTTTTCAAAACTTTGAATTGTATCCTTACGTCATTAGACAGCCAAGCCATCACCAATTATGATTAGATGGCTTTCGTTACTACTTACTAGTAGTTCTTAAAATCATCATTCCAAATCGTCTAGAATGCAATCTTCTACATTAACAGATCGGTTTAACACAACGGAAGTTTCATTAATCGTCTTACAACCTCATTTGCTGAGCTTTGTTTGTATATAGCTTACCTAATATTATCAAAATCGTCTCTATTAGCTGTTCACGTTAATTAAGCCATACGCATTCGTCACTAAACTTAACCTTTTACAAAAACAAACAAATGAACAAAAAAAAATGAGGTTGGAATCTTATTCCATAATCTGATGTCTGCTCCTAATTGCTCTTTTTTCCGTTTATACTTTATACAAAGCTATGAGCCAAAGGGCTTAATTAATTTGCGTCTTCGTTAACATCATCCGAATTATTATTTTCTTGTAGTTGTAATACTGACACTAATGCTATATTTCAAATTGGTCAAAAAATAGCCAAGTTCTATTAATCTATTATCATCACCCTTTTTACTTCAAGCCAAAACATCGTTTTCCACTAAATGTCCATTATTTATTTATTCAAGACTTTATAATCCTAGGTGTACATTATACTTATCCAAATACATAGGTTTTTCTATATAATCGTACAAATTTTACATACTTCAAATCCATAGCCAAATTTTTGAAGTTTAAATTGTTACTCGTAAATTAATATGACAAATTATATTTTGCAATTGCAACTACGATGGATCGTCTTTGGAGTATGGTCATAATTCGAATTCCCCTAGAGTTCCATTCCGGTAATTATTTGCGACTTCTTCATTTCGTCCTACTTGATTCAATGATTTACCTGAAATAGATTTGCGGAAAACGTTTTTGCTCATAGTGTATACTTTTTAAACTAGATTTTGATCCTCTTTTCTTTGTTTACTATCAACGAACAATTTTATATTGTAAACTTTTAAACTAGTCTCATTATAATATCGAAACAAATGGATCTAGAACATAGAGTTAAGGGCTCATTATTCCTTATTATTATTACAATAAAGTTTCAAGTGTTTTTTAATATTCCTTACAGAAAAAAAAAACTCAATTACTATTTAGCTGAAATTGACATCATACTTAGACTGCAGATTAGGAAGATACAGTCCCCAAAACTTCTCAAACTCAGGCTCCTTCATGTTCTCATCAAACATAGCGAATATGTAAGTCTCTATGGCTTTCCCTGGCTTTCTCGGAGTTCCGCTCTTCACATGTTGTATCAAATTGTTAACATATGTCTTAGCATTCACCACACTCGTCCCTGGTCCACCTGCGGTCGGCCAACCACTCTCCGACACAACAATTTCCAACGATCCGCCTCCGGATTTCTCCAACGCCACGTAAACCGAATCGAGATTGGCGTCGAAGAGGTTATTGTAAGCGTATTGGCCGTCAGTGAATTCAGTGGTTTGTTTGGTGAACAGAGAGTAGTCTAAATGGATGCTGTTCATGTCATCCTTGTAGCCGAAGTAAGAGTACATGTTCAGGAGCAAAGGCGATTGCTTGCTAACCAAGAAATCTATCACCGGTTGGAGAAAGGTCTTATACTCATCCGTGAATCTCCCAAGCGACGGTGGAAACGTTTCCGTGACGGCTCCCATGAATATAGCAGTCGAGACCTTGATCCCGAGGCCTGCGTCAGAAACGGCTTTCTCGATGTTCTGCATGGCCTGGAAGAGAGACCTCCCAGCTGGCTCCGAGGGTGTCACCTCGTTTCCGACAGTGATGTACCTGAACCTGACACCGTCATAGTTCTTGACGTTGTCGCGGACCCACGTGTCGGCCTCCATTTGGTTAGAGGCGATACGTTCGAGATCGGATTTGGGAACGTCGAGGATGAGCTCGATGTTGGAGCCGCGGAGAGCGTTGAGAGTCTCTGGGTTGGGGTCGTAAATGCGCATCCGCTGGATGTTCAGCTGCTTGTAAAGAGCCACAACGTCCGGTGGATTTGGCCGGGGATCGCCTCGCATCCCGTAGCATACTCCGATTTGTCCAGCTGACCATTAGTATTGAAATTGAATCAAATTATGTGGATTAGTATAATAAAACCAATAGAGTCATAAAACATAAGTAATGAATATGTTACAAAATATTAAAACACTATTGAACCTGTAGTGTGGAATAAGGAAGCTATTACAAGACCGAGAGGAATCAGCAACAAGATCCTTGATTCAGACATTTTCATGATATGTTAAAGATTTTGTGAAGATATGGATACTTTTTTTTTATTTATGTTTAAGTCGTACAGTTTTGCGCCTAATTTATAGAGCGAGTCTGGGGTTCAAGTCAGTCAATGGATGAATTACCGACAATCACAACATACTTCTAAGTTCTAACACACACATAGTCCACAAAATTAGGTTTGAAAAGTCTACGAATACGAGATTTCTTATACACAAGTATGGACAAACTAGCTAAAGACTGAAGTGTTAAATGGGATGCATCGCCCAAAACGAATTTGTATTGGGTTTTGAAACATTCTGATTTAAATGGTTGTTTTGATTCAGGCTGTGTATTATAAACTATTACTAATGTATTTTCTCTCTGTTTTGTTATAACATTGTTTCAATGCAAAGTTAAATTTTATTGTTCTGTTACCAATTGTATATTGGAGCCTTTTATCACTGGTTGAATAGTTTTTAGTTAGACAAGAATTAATTTTTTTTTCTGTAGAAGAAAACAAGATATCAGATCACCCGCTAGCCAACGTCAATTATGGTTGGATCATACTCCCTCTGTCTAAAAACTTGATGTTTTAGATTTTTCACACATATTAAGAAGTAATTAATGTTAGTTAAAAGTGCATCATTTTCTCTCTCATTAGTTACTTTTTATAAATATGAT